TCGATTTGGTACCATCACTTTATTGGTGGTTGGACTACACAAGTTTGAGCTTCAAGGTGACTTCTCTGGACCCATCGCTAGGGAGACCAAGCTGCTCCAAAGGCTTGCACTTGTAACCCCAGCTGGATATTGGATCACAAAGGAAGCAGTCTGGAGGAACATAACAGCCTGTGGAGTGCGCAAGGGGCTGAGCCAGTTCTGGTCTGTCTCTTTAGCATTAGAATGGAGAGGTGCAGGAAGTGAGGTCACCCAGTGGTGGACGGGAGCTGGAAGGTCATTGACAGCTAGAGGCTGAGACACACATTCTTGACGCTGAGCAAGCTAATTCGTCAGCCCTTTGGAGTTAGAAGAGGGAGGCAGTGGCATTGAGAGCATCAAGAAACAAAGATGCAGTATCTCCTCAGAGAACAATCGCCTTGGCTCTGTTAGCTTTCCAGTGCCACGAGACTTGGCTTTCACGCCTGGCTTTGCAGCACCCTATTTTAATCTCTGTTCATTTCAATTGTTGATATTGTAATGAACACAATCACTCACAGCCACACACTCACCCAGAGTAGACTGCTTTTTAACATCAGTTCAGTTGGCTTGTGTTGAGAAATGCAATTCTAAACAAAGTGCAAGAGTGACCCCCAGTCTCTCGGTCCACCTGGCTGCTTCACTGGGTACCCATCACAGTGATCTCAGGAGAAATTTCCTCCTAGCCTTTGATACCCGGCATTGCACATCTGTGACCGACATCGATGTGTTTTTGCATGTACTATAGCAACTTTTAGTCTGAATTTTGAGAAGTTCGAGTCCAATTTGAGAATTTTATTAGCAAGTTTGTTATTAGTGATTTTCAGTGAAATTGATTCCAGATTTATTGTGTACTGTTTTTTTCCTACCCTCACAACTCTAAAAATATATTTGACTAAATATATCTGTGCAACTAATCTCAAGTTTATTTATTTGTTTGTTTATTATTTATTTGCTTGCTTGCTTGCTTATTTGAAAGGTAAAGTTACAGAGAGAGAGAACCAGGAAAAGATAGAGTGATCTTCTTTTCTGTTTCACTCCCCAAATGGCTGCCAGACTCGGACTAAGCCAGGTTGAAGCCAGGAGCCTGAAACCCCATCCAGGGACCCGAACACTTGGACCTTCCTCTGCTGCCTTCCCAGGTGCATTGGCAGGGAGCTGGATGGGAAGTGGAGCAGCCGGGACTCCTATTGGCACCAGGAAGGGATGCTGGCACTGCAGATGACTTCACCCACTGAAGTCATCCCCTCAGGTCCTCTTGTGAGAAAAGGCGATTTAAATAATCAAATAAACAAGAGGAAAACACACAGCAAATAAACAAAGGGAAGGTTTCTGTTACAGAAAGGATCCATGTCCATTCAGCCAAGTATGTGTCTGAAGCAAAGATACTTGCCTTTAGAGAATGGCTTCAGCATTTCCTGGTACAAAGTCAAGGATGTCAAAAGAATGATCAGCCGTGAGGATGGACAGTTTGGGGGTTGGGATTGATGCCTGTGGCCATAAAGGCACCTGCAGCTGCTGTGCTGATGGGCTCTGAGTAGTGCTGGGATTCTTGGGCAGATCTGCTGCCCACGGACCTCAGGAACTCGGCCACCGCTCTGTTGTATAGTGCTGGTCGTTCCAGAAAGTTAGCTGCTCTCACAGTGCAAAAATGTTTAAAGAAAATGATGATCTGGTCATTGGGTTTTATAAACTTAAAAATGGCTATGGGAATCCTCTGGCAAGGGTCTGTGTAAATGAAGTGAAATGTCTTGACTGAGTAACCAAGGCACGCAAGGATGCTGAGTTTTACGTATCCAGACATACCTTGGCAACAATTTCCTCTGAGGCATGTGCATCAGTCAGACTAAATAATCTCCAAAGTTCCTTAAACGACACCAAAAAGCATTCTGTGACACCATAATCATTTAAATATGTGAAAGTATAACTGAATTTTGAACTACTTCTCTTTAGACAAACTGAAATCGAGACATGTGATATTTGCTCTTATGTAGGAACCAGTTCCTCCTTTAAAGTCTCCCACAGATGGGCTCAGCATTGCACCTCCAGGAACTCTACAACCAGTACATGCTGAGCTTGCTTATTTTTTTCACTATTTTTCACTCCCATTTTAGAAATGCAAGTTAGTCAAATAGTGAGACTTTTAAAACTCGAAAAATGATCAGCATGTGGGGGGTTCCAATATAAAGAGGTTATGAGGCTGTTCTAGGTTACCCAAGCAGTCGATGTCAAAGCCAGGCTTAGAACTGGGTCTCCGGGTTCCTGATTTATAAGACTTTCTGCTATGATATACACATCTGATACATTTTTAAAAGATTTATTTATTTGAAAAAGTAGGGAGAGAGAGAGAGATCTTTCATCCTCTGGTTCATTTCCCAAGTGGCTACAACAGCCAGGGTTGGGTCAGGTTGAAAGATCCTAGAACTCCATCTGGACTCCACATGAGGACAAGGGTTACCATGCGTGGGCCATTATCCAGCACTTTCCCACACTGATCAGCAGGAGCCAGATTGGAAGTGGAGCAACCAGGACTCACATAGACACTCATGGATATTGCAAGTGGTGCCTTAACCTGCTTGAATCACAATGCCAGCCCCTTATTGTACTTTAACTGTCATGTTTAATTCCCATGGTTTGAGTAATGGTCCATTCCAGTTCTGTTAAGATAAACTTCCAGGCACTTGAGTTTCTCTATCAGTAATATAATGTATTCTAAACTGTCATAGTATAGTTGATTATTGCTTGACAAAAATTCATGAAATCCATTTAAAAGGCATAGTCACAAAATGTGTCGGCGGGAGGCACACTTCTGCTCTTATCCTTTGCCCACCTCTATGCACCCATGCATCTTGGTCAACTCACAGGGTAGACTAGGCCTTGGAGAGGTGATCGAGTTGGAAAAGTTTTTTTATATATAAATAAGATTGATACTTTGATAGTTTCTATTAGCAAAGAATTAATATGTGCTACTTTTAGATTGTTTGAATCATAATGCACTTAGTCGCCGTTGGTACCCTGTCCACGCTATGAGCACACGGGGTAATGAAGTACCAGTGGCCCCATCAAGAATTAAGCAAGATCACCCGCTGGGTGGAATTCACTCATGGAACGCCTCCTTTGCTGGTGGCCAGACCACCCCTCATTCCAGTCAAACATGGTGTATAGGCACAGATTACTCCATGTGATGTTAGCACTTTGATGCTCCAGTAAACTTAGTGTCCTAAGCCGTGTGCCCTGGTGTTGCAGCAACTCTTGGTATTCTAGTGTGTGAATCCACTTGACACATTCCAGTTGACATGAATGCCCTCTAGGTGACCCTGGCTGTCATCCCAAAACCCAGGGGGTAAACAAAGTCCTTCAGATAATCTTCCCAGTGCTTCTTGCTGGGTACTGATGCCTGCAATGTCTCTTATATGCAGCCTGAACTGTTAATATTTCTTGAAAAAGTCCAGGTGCCCTCTGGTGACACAGGGCTACCTTTGTTTTGGACACTTAGTCTTGTCTCACAGTACAGGGGTCTTCCATCTTGCTGCCACTCAAGACGTGCTTTTGTCCATGTGTCCCAAAAAAATCCCACTCTGTAATCCTGGATTTGTCCCCCCTCTCTCTCCAGTGTAACAGCACTCCCCAGCTTTGGTGGCTGGTGCTTTCATGCTAGGCCTTCTTGAAACACCTAGAAATCTATTGAATCTGGTTCATGAGTAACTAGTCTCTCATCAGACTTCTCATCACAAAGATTTCACTGTGCATAAAATTGGGGAAGTTTTGGCAATCTGTGGGAATAACTGGGAAACTTCTTCTGGGAACGAGTACATTTGGCAGCCCTGACACCAAATCATAAATTCTTACCGATAAAGACACGGTGTAATGGCACAGACAGCTTTGATCTGTGTTTTTGTTAGGATATTGGATCCCAAAATGCACTTCTCCTGCTGTTTGTGGAATGCCTGGGGAGGAAAATGGAATGCTTCTACCTTGACAAAATTATTAAATAAGAACAGCTTGTCTTCCTGGATTCAAGACTTCTAACCTCTAAATTACTCCTCCTTCCCCCCTCGCAAATGAAGTCTCTATTATTCGTTCATTCCACCTTCCAAGCTTGTTTTCAGATCCTTTATTTAGATGAAAAAACCAGTGTCTCAAATTTTCAACTTAAAATTGATACATTATTTTAACAGCATGGCTGTGTACTTTTCAAGAGTTCCAGGAGAGGTAAGTAAGGCCAAGCAGTAATGGAGTGTAGGCAGAGAAGCCAGGGAAAGGTGAATGTCTGCAGCTTTGTAAGTGTGCCCAGGTTATTCACTGTATTTCTCTTAGGATAACATATTGCTGAAGAAGCTGGGACATAAGTCATCAGTTTAACAGATGGGCTTCAGGGTGATGACCATTTATTTCCTGGGGTTTTGAATGTGTGTATTGCTATACAGACTTGTGATTTGCTAGTTCTAGTGGGCCCTGTTGTCACCAAGCTTGGTTAATACAGACTTCTTAATAACAACAACCAAAAAAAAAAAAAATCCTGCCAGTTGTGCTGAACAATCAGTCCTCTGACTGGGTGGCCTCTGTAACCAAGGATCAACCAATAGGGGATCAAAAATACTTGAAAAAGTGGTGTCCGTTGTCATTAGGCCCTTTGCAATAAAGCATCACAGCTATGCCCATCCGCACAGCGCAAGTCAGCTCCTGGTGACTTGATGTATGGGAGAAGATGTGCATAAGCCATTATACCAACACCAGACTGTTTCATATAAAGGACTTGTGCTCCTGTGAATTTAGGTATCTGCAAAAGAGAGGCAAGTTCTGGAACCAACTCTCAGTGTGTACTGAGGACAGCCATCCACTCTTGTTTCTAATATTTCCAAACAATCCATGGCAAAGGCTCTGAAATTGTTGAAATGAACGCTAACCGCTCAGTGGCAGTAGGGAAATAAGGAAGGTGTTTGCGCGGCTCCTGTGTTTAGTGCGCATGTCTGTTTGTATTGCAGAGCTCTTGGAGCGGAACAGAACGTCCATCTTCCTCAGCCCTTTTGGCTTTCTTGACCTCCAGACAATGCTGCTGGATGAGTATCAGGAACGGCTGTTCGTGGGCGGCAGGGACCTCCTGTACTCACTCAGCTTGGAACGGATCGCGGATGGCTACAGAGAGGTACGGAAGCATGGCGCGGGGGCTCAGGATGGGAAGGGTATAGCTTGAGCTTTTTTTCACCTTTAAAATTTTCAGCGATTACTTCATTCAAATAAAATATTCATTCAAAGGAAATTACTTACACACCATTGTGCGTGAACTTGCCCAGAACCCCTGGATGTCTGGACTTCCAGAAACCCCAACTGGTGCTTCTGACATTGTTCTTGCATGGCCTTCTTCTTGTCACCACACCCATTGTTGTGAGAATGCAGTTTGACACATGCTGAACGAGTAATAACCCCTGGGCATCATCCCTCCAGCATTGAGCTTAAAGAAATATGGTTCTGTGACAGCACACAGTTCCATTGGCTATATCGTTAATTAACATGTACTATTAAATTATGCAAGTGCCTGACGCCTCCTAGAGAAGGTTGTGATAAGAAGAAAACTGGTTCTTATGGTCTCTACTGACAAGGTTGAACTGATCTCAATTGTTTTAGGTTTGTATCAGTCTGCATGAAACAGGCAGAAATATTTGGACCATAGTATTTCTTGGCATGAATGTATGGATTGTGTAACTCCTTTCTTGGTCATTTATTCTTTTGACTAAGTGAGCCTCATCCACCCTTGGTCTTAGATAGTTACCAAACCCCACAGAAAATGGTTTAAAATCTTTGGATTTTTTCTTGCTTCATATTTCTGTATTTCTAACAAGCACTCTGTCGTTCTTTCTCAGTGTCTTTGATTGAGACAACAGCTGTGAGCGTTAGGGAGGAGGAAGATTTAGGCTTCCTCTTTGCAGCACTGTCCATCAAGCATCTGTGGGCTGCTCTGCACGCAGTTCTCCAGTCCCCTGTCCTCCGAATTCTCACTAGAGTTAGAAGCAATCCTGGTTAGATCCAACCACATTAGACATTATTATAATCAGGAAAGCAGCGTTCACCAGTGAGCCACACAGGGTAGGGTTATCAAATTTTTAAAGATTTATTTGTTTGTGTTGTAATGTCAAATTTACAAAGAAAAGGAGAGACAGATCTTCTGTCTGCTGATTCACTCCCCAAGTGGCTGCAAGAGCCGGAGCTGAGCCAATCCAAACCCAGGAACCCTGAGCTTCTTCTGGGTCCCCCAAGGCTTTGGGCCATCCTCAACTGCCTTCCCAGGCCACAAGCAGGGAGCCATATGGGAAATGGAGCGGCCAGGATGCAAACTGGCCCTATGTGGGATCCCTGTGCATGCAAGGTGAGGATTTAGTCACTAGGCTGTCTTTGCATCAGGCCTGGCTTATCAAATTATTCTTAACCTCCTTCCTTTTTTGTTCTCTTCCTTTCTTTCTGCAATTTTCTTGCTTCTGCTGAAGTTAAAAATTATCTCTTTTTTCCATGTGCTTAAGTCGTTGTTTTAATTCCACTAATTTTTCACCACATCCTCTACTGCAGTCTTTGCCTTTCAGTGTGGTGAGAGTCCGTAAGTTCAGTGTTTCCTGTTTCCTAAAGTTAAATCCCTCTGCTGTGGTCCCCTGTCCTATCGGCTGTGGCTTCATCCTCCTCAGGCACGCACAGGATCTACCTTCCCACATCACCCTTCTTTCTGTTTGGTATTTTCCTGAAGAAGTCCAAGTTTCTTGAGGAAAGATCCAAAGTAAAACACTGAATTTTGAGTGTTTATAAGTGTGTTACTCAGCCTTCATACAAACTTGACAGATTATGTAAAATGATGGATTGAAGATAATTCACATCAGAATCACGAGGATTTGTGCCATCATGCTCCTGTCTCCCCCACCCACCACACCCACCCACCCCCCACCCACCCACACACACACATTGCTTGACTACAATTACGTGCTTTGAATTGGCTCTTTAGGTTCCTGGTTTATGGGAATTTCTGCAGCTCTTTTGTTTCTTTTTCTTTCTTTTTTTTTTAAGATTTATTTATTTATTTATTTATTTTATTTGGAAGTAGGTTATACAGAGAGAGATTCTCCATCTGCTGGGTCAGAGTTAGGCCAGTCCAAGCCAGCATCCAAGAGCTTCTTCCAGGCCTCCCATGTGGCTGCAGGTACCCAAGGACTTGAACCATCCTCTGGTGCCACTAGCAAGCTGCCAGGTCTCCCACGTGGGTGCTGGGACCCAAGGACTTGAACCGTCCTCTGGTGCCACTAGCAAGGTGCCAGGTCTCCCACGTGGGTGCTGGGACCCAAGGACTTGAACCGTCCTCTGGTGCCACTAGCAAGCTGCCAGGTCTCCCACGTGGGTGCTGGAACCCAAGGACTCAGGCCATCCTCAGTGCCACTAGCAAGTTGCCAGGCCATCAGTAAGCAGCTGGAGCGGAAGTGGAATAGCCAGGACTCTACATTGGTACCAAGGTTTCTGGACACCTCTCACAATGCTGCTGAGCCATTTCCTGTACAGTGAGATGGGACGCAGCAGCTTCCCACCTTAATGGGATTTCCCTTCAGGGCACAGAAAGGGAATCCTCTGCCTATTTCCGTTTATTCTTCAAGCCTGCTTGTATCATCAGGCCTTCCAGACCACAGAGACCAGAATATGTGCAGAAAAGGACTGACAAAAACCATGCCAGAGCCGGAAACCTGGCAAAGCTCTGAGCTGCCTCTTAGAAAATGACTCAGAGTGGAGTCTGGTCGCTGAGCTCACCTGGGGTGTCTAGCAATGCGCCAAGGAGAGAGCAGTGCAGGCTCTTCAGTGGAATAGCCTTCCTGTCCTCGAGGGGAAATCCTCAAAGCTCACAAATGCTGTGCCTTCCGTCTTTTACACCAGCCCTGCCTGTCCGTCCAGCTGGAGCAGCGTGGGCCCGCCATAGGCTGCCTGCTCAGTGCAGTGACAGCCGAGTTAGCGTAAGGTCTGCTTCTGGTGACATTATTAGAGACCCTCTCGGGCAATCACCGTGTACGTACAGCATCGTGAAATGCTGGGCTACTGCGTATCTGTACAGGCCCTGGGAAACTCTGGGCCTGTCTGTGGTGCTGAACAGTTTTGATATAAAATCATCAGAATGTATTAGATATGCACACTTCTAGGATTGGTTTTCTCCCCATGCAGTTTTGAAACAACTAAGAATCCACTATTTGATAGACTTACTACACTGTATTAGCTTTGCTTTACGAATTGTTTATTACATTTCTCAGACCACGTAATTACAGCCTATCACAGTCAAATCCTGTTCTGGCGTATGTACGTGACATAAACTGCCCTTAACCCTCACGGCAAAACAGAGCAGTTCATTCTGGCACTAAATCGGCGTCCTCACTCCTGAACTTCTGACTTGATAACTTCCTTTGCTGTATCTAACATGAGCACCTTGCATCTTCCAGAAGCTGGTGGTTTTTATGATTCTCGCTCAAAGTCTCTAAAACCTGCCCCACCTAACCCCAATAATGTGAGACTTCCTAGGCTAGAAATCTTGACCTCAGCTGTAACAATCTAAGAAATTTTTTAAAGACAAGTTTTTCTTTTCTGCATTTTTCTGAAGTCTTTTGATGCAAAAAGAGCATTGGCTGAACTAGAGGAAATAGTTCTGCGGGTGGAAGCCCTGGGCCCGGCGTGGTAGCCTAGTGGCTGAAGTGCTCGCCTTGCACATGCTGGGATCCCATATAGGCACCAGTTTTAATCCTGGCGGCCCTGCCTCCCATCCAGCTGCCAGCCTGTGGCCTGAGAAAGCCGTTGAGGATGGCCCAAAGCCTTGGGACCCTGCCCCCTCATTGGAGACCTAGAGGAAGCTCCAGACTCCTGGCTTCTGATCAGCTCAGCTCTAGCCGTTGCGGCCATTGAGGAGTGATCAATGGATAAAAGATCTTAAAAAAATGAAAGCCCTGTGAGATTTCCTGATCCTGATATGAGTGTCTGAGGATGGCAGAGCAGGCCAGATGGACTGAGGACTCAGAGAAAGTCAGCATGTTCCAGGCCCCTCTCACTTGGCCACCTGTCGATTCCGCTTACATTTGTATCAAGCTCTAAGAAAACAAACAACACCAAAGCCTATTTCTTTTTCTTTTTCTTTTCTTTTTTTTTTTGCCATTTTTTAAATTATATTTTTTACAATCTTTACATAGTTAATTAGGGTAAAAAGGTTCAAGGGCTACAGGAAAGTGGGTAAGACTATTATTTCCATATTACTTCCTTCATGTTTAAAGGGGGTTATTAAGGGAGAAGGCCCACCCACTTTCCCACCCTCCCCAGGTCCCGCATGTAGGGCATGCTCCGAGGTTCTTGCTCAAGTGGTTTTGATAGTTCACCAGTTATGAATCGCTGCCAGTCTTGCCACTCCAAGCACTATGAGGTCTTTGAAAAATCCACTGATTGACATAGTCCATCATAGAGTCTCTGTTTGCCCCGTATTTCACTGCCAACATATGGCTGAGATGGTTGATTGACCTGTTCTGTCTTCTCTCTTTTCTTGGTTAGGGTTCTGAGTCCAGCTTTTCGATTGGGGAGATCTCCAAAGAAACTTTGTCTGAGGTGTTCTCAGACCAGATTCTTGTATGTACTAGCAAGTACAGGGCCCAGCACAGTCCATCACCCTGATCAGCTGGTGTTTGCAATTGCTGGGTTGATTCTGTTTTCGGCTCCACCTTCCACTGGAACCAATGGGTGTTGCAGTCCAGCCTGGTTCTGCCCAGCACATACTCGGCCCGCGCATAACCCAGTGGGAGCTGCAGCCTAGTTAGAGCGACCCACAATAACCCCACAAGGCCTGCCCCCTACCCTGGTTTGCCAGTATGTGTAGCAGTAGCCCAGTCTGTCCCACACCCCATTCCACTGCAGCCCCTGTCCTGGTTTTCGTCCCCTCCCATGGAAGTGGTAACCCAAGAGGGAGGAGCCCACTATTTACCTCTCAGGCCTCTCCCACTCCCGGATTATGCACTCTCCAGGTAGTTCTGTGGTTTGACTTGACAGAACTAGTCCCCAGTGCCAGCTTCTGCCAGCTGATGCTGTGGCTAAGGCCAAAAAATAACCCTCACCCACTCTAATTTTGTTTGTACCAGTAGGACTAATCAGCCCAGCCTG